ACGAAATAGGTTCAAGAGAAGAATATTAATGATTATGAACCAATTAACGTATTCTCCCAGACCTGGCTTCATAGAAAACATCTAGAAACCATTGTAGAACAATATTTTAAAATATAAAAGCTTTTCAAAAACTGGGAACAAGCTCAAGACTGCTCTGAAGGAAGTGTAGTCAAAATTTAATGTGCTAGTTTGGGGAAGGTTGTGAGCTCGATGCTCCTGATTACACTTTATAAATAATTCATCTTTACCTCGTTTATAAACTCAACACAACTCGTTATCCATAAGCTCGTTTAAATTTATTTTCTATTTGAATTGCAAAAAAAATCCATTCGAATAAATAGTTACTTTCTTCTGCAGACTCTTTTGTTAGACTGTGATATCTTTATTTTGCTAGACCGCTTAGCTTTATAAATTCGTTTAAAAATTCTGTTATAGTAGATTTACTAATTAACATGGATTTTTTATTTCACTAATAGATTTTTTTGATATACTATAAAGAAAGTCACTGTATATGATTAGGTGAGCATATTATTGGATAACGTTTTGTGTTTATATTTTACTAATAGTGAAACTATAGTTAGATACAGTTTAATATAAGAATGGTACTACAAGTGGGTATTCTATATGGCAGTCCAGAGATACTTAAATGAAAAGCCATGCAGATATTTGAGACTGTAACTGGTTTACATTTATAAAGGAATACGGCCTAAAATACAAAATTTATTATTGGTCAATGTTAGATCTATTTCAAAGTGGAATACTTTGCATTTTCAGTACTACATCTCTTGTACGAGAAATCAAAAGTTAGATAAACTGAGATGAAGGGCAAAAAGCATTCTTACAAATACAAACTAAAAACAAAAAACCTATTGCATCAGTCGAATCTCGATTAAAAAATTAATTTCATGTGTATTTTGAATATTAGGTCTTACACGTATTAGTTGTATGTTGATTTATATTTGATCTCGGAAAGTATAAAATTCATATATAAAATATTGTGCTAAATATTTAACTTTTTATTTATCAAGCAATTTTTGTTTCTCGATTTGCTTATTTACTATCTTTATTTCCCCCATAACTATCATTGTACAAACATTTAAGCCGGTAACTATGCATGAAGAAATGGTTAATGCGGGAAAATTTTTTATAACCTATAAAATACAGATAATATACAATACTATTATTGATTAAATAATCTTATAAGAAACGTTAATATATTATATCGCTATAAGTATACACAATACAGTCATACCTCCATATAATCACGCACTCGGGACCCGAAAAAGTGAATTTAAAGCTATTCTTTATATTATAGTCTCCCCTATATAAACACACACCTCAGGACCTGGTAATGTTGTGATCATCATAAGGTGTGCTTATATAGGGGTTTTATTTAATAGTCACATATTTAGTGGCTCAGAATTAATATAATTTAGAGGGAGAATAATCATACGGGAGGTGGGGTAGGTTGTAGCTGAAACTAGAGAGGGTTTGTGACTATATATGAGTGATTATATAGGGGTATGACTGTGATAATATTTATATAAATTATGAAACTGTTAAAATATAATGTATAATGTAAAATTGAAGTAATTGTTGGCAATTTTCTAAAGGTAAGAGTTACCAGCTCGAAAATTAAAAATTTAGGGTAGGATATTATTGTATTACCAAGTATAATCAATAATAAATACTATGAATTTATATATATATAAAATTTATAATACCATTTCAGAAAACAGCAAAATTTCCCGAAATTATTTTTTTTAGGTGTGCTAACAACAAAAAACCAATTGTCTTTGAATTTCCCAACTCTGCTAATTCCGATTTATAACGCTTTAGATTCATTTTCTGATATACCTTCTCCAAATCCATAGCGTTTATTAAGGTGTGCTTGTGTGTGACCAATCTTTTCCAGTTTTGAGTACCACTCTAATTTCTGTTCATCCACTACTCCATGTCTCTGCTCATGTGATAAGTAGTATTGGGCTTTGGCGTTCCCCGATTCTGCTGATTTCAAATACCACTCAACTGCTTTTTCTTGATCCTTTGTAGTCCCTTCTCCATTTGCATAGCAATTCGCAATAAGATATTGTGCTTCTGAATGTCCGGATTCTGCTGATTTCAAATACCACTCAAATGCTTTCTCTTGATTTTTGATAGTCCCTACTCCATTTGCATAACAGTTAGCAGCAGAGTATTGTGCTTCTGAATGTCCGGTTTCGGCTAACCCCAAATAATGCAGAAAAGCTTTATCTCTATTTAACAATGTTCCTATTCCCGAGTAATAACATTGAGCAAGTTTGTATCGAGCATCAATGTTTCCAGAATCCGCGGATTTAAGATACCATTCAAAAGCTTCTTCCTCGTTTTTACCTACACCGGTTCCATTTTCATAACAAAGAGCCACACAATATTGTGCTCTATGACTTCCAAATGCAGCTGCACCTTCATACAAAGAGAACGCCTTTTCTTTATACATCGTAGTACCTATTCCCAATTCATAACAATGACCGAGTTCAACCTGCGCATCACTTATGCCATAATCTGCCACTTTCAAAAATTCATCAAATGCTTTGTCCTCGTTTTTGATTGTACCCCATCCATACTTATAACATAACGCTACTTTATACTGGGAGTACACATAACCCAGCTCTGCAGACTTTAAATACCATTCAAATGCTTTCATCACATTTTTGTCAGTCCCTTTCCCCTCTTCATAGCATAACCCCAGATTGTATTGAGCAATCGCATTATTGTAGTATGATAAATTCAGATAGATCTCAAATGCTTTTATGTTATGCTTCATATCCAGTTGGTCAAAGTTGCAATACTGACTAAGTTTTAATTGTGCGTTGGTATTTCCCGAGTCACCTGACCTTATAAGCCACTCTAATGATTTCTCTTTATCTGCTATAGCTCCTCTCCCATATTTATAAAATACTGCAAGATTATATTGTGCATTAGCATTTCCAGATTTTGATGATTTCATATACCATTCAAATGCTTTCTTCTCATCTCTTTGAGTTCCTTTTCCATGTTCGTAACATAAACCAATATTATATTGAGCTAAGCCACATAGAACATTATTATATTGAGTGGCGTCATTTCCGGACTCAGCTGATTTTGAATACCAATAAAATGCTTTTTCCTCATTTTTAATCTTCATTGTCTCAGTCTGATATAACTTTCCAAGAAGAAATTGCGCAGTCGTACCTCCTTTATTCGCTGAGATTATATACAATTGACGAGCATTGTCATAATTCCTATCCAGCCTAATTGCATAATGGTGAAAAAATCCCACAAGTGTGACATGTTCAAAATCTTGTTGCAAATCTTGTAACAACTCTTCGAAATCCGACGAATCATGAATTTTATTCTCGATAAATAGTCCCAGTTCTTCAGCCGTTTTGTTCAAGTCATCCCACGAACAAAGACATTGACGAAAGAACATGAATAAGTCTTCCATCATGTTGTTCGAATTTTTTATTTTTTTGGAAGGGAGTGACAGTACTGGCGTGACTTTTTTCCGTTTGTCGCTATGAACTTCGAACATATTTAGAAAGAAAATGCGAAAAAGAAGAAAAATAGGAAAAGGAGACAAACTGCTGTTTATGTATAACAATTCACTTACACAAATAAAGAACAATGTTTCGATATAGAAAAATCATAGACGAATGACCCTTATCTGTGTTTCATTTGTCTTCCATAAAGAAAGGATTAGAATTTCATTTACATGTATATACCTTGTGTGATGAGACATTTACATGTTGCACCGGTACATACATGTACTTTGAATACATGTACAAGTCTATGATTTGCATTGTAGTACACGTGATGTGGAGACAACAAATTTCGTATTCCTTGCCCTGTTACATGTACTATTACGTACATTTTGAAACTTTGAACAAATTCTTGATTTTATTACAAAATCGTATTTATTTATTATACACTTCAGATTCGTCTTAATCATAAAGATTCTTTACATTAAAAAAGATTTTTATGTTTTTTTTGTTCTCAACAAAACACACCAACACATGCATTCTCACTAATCTAAGAACTTGAAGAGTGAATTTACATCACCGTTTTCGTAAGCTTTATCAGTGTCTGAAATTCACTGACTTCTTTCTCTTACGATGGTTGTTATTCCAATATTTGCGGATGCGTGACACTGTCCATCCTTCACTAAGTTCGCGTAAAATCGCCAAAACTTCGTTTTCCTCCTCAAGTATTGTTTCGAGAATGTTCTTTTTCACTTGTTTTTCAGCGTTGACACTTCGTGGGATAAACCTCTGACATGCTTTTATCTGTTGTTCTAGCTCAGGATGCAAACGTCATTCGCATCACTGTATTGCTTTTGTTTCTTTCCCTTGTTGCTCCTTCTTCTTGATTGTTATTTGATATTGTCATTGATATTTGTATAATGTTATATCGCGGATTCACAATTTTTGCCTTCGTTTTGTAAACATATCGGCGTAAATGGCATTAAGTCGTGAAATACCAAGATTGTAACATGAAAAAACCTTTGGAAGCCTGCTTCGTTTATTTCATTCATGTCTTTGAATAGTTCATGAAATTTAGGTTCTGCCAAGGAAAAGGCAGCTAGTAACTCCGAAGCCAACTTCCATAATTGCTTGGTCTTCTTTGAGCATTACTTGTTGTTTTAGGTCTTCACAGTTCATGGGTTTTCTTCTAATGTTTTGTACGAAATTAACGTTAACTCTAAATTGCTCGAGAACCTCGTCAAATCGAAAAATATGGCCAATGCGCGCGTTAAATTTACTGAGCAGATGTGTTGAGTATTTCTCTAAAGGATGAATGTATTATCCTCAACACAGGAGAAGAAATGCGCTACAGATTTTGCATAATTACTCTCAGAAAGAATGGAGCGAAAGCAGAAAGTTTTTTGAATTTCAGACCGATCCAATAATTTACCCACAGAAATAATACCATACCTTTAATGCTTTATTATACCAATTTCGAAATTACTTGTATCCTCATTTAGGTTAATTAAATATTGATTAATCACTCCGCTCAAATTAGTTACAAGACATGACAAGTGGCTTGATAGTCTACCAAACAATTCTTTTGCATAATAAAATTGTGCTTTAGAATAAATTCATTATTTTCTTTTCTCCATTTTTCTTGATTATCACTTTGCATCAATAAATCTTTCTTTAGCGTAAGCTTCAAGTTAAGATAATACCTCTTCAATATACATAAGTTTATTATTTTTTGAAGCTTGAGTGCGTTAATTCTGGAAATGTATTCTACAAGTCAAACCCATTAACTGAAATACTAATCAAAACCAGCATAAACTGAATTTGATTCCAGGTTAGTAAACCCAAAAGCCAATGCATAATTTTGAATTTCTATACTGTATAATAATTATTATATCTGCAAATATTCATACAAACCCAAGTGGTTATACAGAACTGATACTTATTTCGATTAGATAAAGATCGTGTCAATCGATTTGACACTGAGGAAACTAATATATGACAGATTTGATAGACTTGTTGTGTTTGCATCATCCATTAGATGATGCGAATTATATCCGTCGATTTCATAGTTGTAGTATCTCTTAGGTGTAGTAGCTTCACTAAAATCATTACATTTGTTGACACAATGACTGATAAACAAAATTGTGATCAATAGATATTGCATTACAATATGAAATGAATTAATTAAATATCACCTAATTCTTGTAACCAAGTTTCCCAAGGTCATTGTTTATTATAGGATTTTTTTTTATTTGAGCCAGTTAAGTTGATGACGTGTTCTTCTTCTAGGTTACATGTAATACATATTTTGTGTGATTGTTGAAGGTGGTTCTTATATTAATAAATGTAAAGTATGTTAATGATTTTGATATTTTTATTTTATTCTATTCTCAAATTCGATGATTTTTATAACTTTTATGCAGTTCTAATATTGTTTTTCACACTGTGATGATGTTTTACAATCATTTAATTTACAAATATATAGTACTTGGATAAGTTGTTCACAAGTAGTTCTTTTTTAATAATGTAATTTAAGACAGTGATATTCTTTAATTAAAATAATTTGTGTTATTTTGAAATTTTTGTTATAATTCTTATTTCAGTTATGGTAATATAAGGTTTAATCAACCCAAAGCTTAGTTTATTGACTTCTCAGTCAGATAAAATTAATTTTGAATCACAATTATTAGTTCTAATTTATTATCTTCAATATATCATTTCAAGTAATCTCTATTACATAAATTTTTAAGAAGTTTCTATTTATTGTTCTTAATCAGTGACTTTATCAAATTTTTTATGAATATAAAATGGATTTTTTCATTTTTGTAAAAATTTTTTATGATATCAATATTGTATCTCCATTTTCATTATTAAAATTTTATCTTTAATAAAGAAATTTTGTGAATATTTATCTTGTTGATAAGATTTTTTTTGTTTTTGTTGAGATTTTTAAACATTTTGTTGAGCTAATATTCAGTCAATTTCTAATTTATCTATTATTATACAAGCTCTTTTTATAATTTCATTTATTATAATTTTTTAATTTTTACTGGTTGTAATTTAAAATCTAATAATATTAAGACTTGTCATTTATAAGTAAAATAAAATAATGTGAATTTTGTTGCATTTTGTTGCATTATTCAATATACAAAAAGTACTGAAAATAAGTAAAAATTTTATTTATTTTTATATAATTGAACAAACTTTGCTATTGATTCACACAAAGTTCTATTTAATCATTTAACTAATTTAGTTGTTTATGAGTGATATAATGCTGAGAAATGATGTTTGATTTAATAGTTTTAATATAATTTTCTAATTAATTCATTGATAAAAATAATATCTTGATCAGATATTAATTCTTTTGAAAAACCATATCAATAAATGATATCATTATATAAGAATGATATAATTATTATTGCAGCAGTATCTTTTATTGCTCTGATTTTAGTTTATTTAGTATTATAATTAATAGTTACTAACATATATTTATTTTTATTGCTGGTAATTGATAGTAGTGTTAAAAATATTATAAAATTCATTAATTCCATAATTTGTAATATTTCACGAAATTATAAAAATCATGTAAAGAACTTAGAATATTTTACAATTTTTTTATATTATTAATTATAATATTCATATGCTTTTCCATCTTGTACTCTTATACTTTTTATACTTTTTATATTTTTTTTACTTCGTATTCTTATACTTTTTATACTTTTTATATTTCATATTCTTATACTTTTTATACTTTTTATACTTTTATATATTTATATTTTTTATACTTTTATACTTATTTATTTTGAATAGATATAATTTAACCAATCAAAATTCTCTAAAATTTATACTTTTTTTCTTTATTTCTCTATTTTTTATATTTAATAAATTGAACTTTTATTTTTAGTTGGTATAATTATTTTTTATATCTTTTTCTTATTTTGAATATTATATTTGTATTTCGAAGAAAATATATAAATATGAGTTATAGTTGAGCTTTAACTCAACATGTCAGAACTTGAGAATAAATAATATAATAAAACTAATACCTTTTAATACTTAAACAATTCATCTTTCTTTCACAAAAGTATATTGCAAACTAAGGTTGCTTGCCGAAATCCCTTAGTGACTGTCTAAATTCTGTCGAAATTATAATAAACTATTAGTAAATA